TGCAACTAAGGGAAGCATAATAAGGTACGGAAGGCGAGGTAACTCAGAAAGAATAAGCAGTACGGGACGAGCAACGGTTATTACGTGTGTCAGACCCTCACAAAGGGAACGAAGAAACAGGATAACAAACTGAGGTGAAGAATCAAGGCCTTTCAAAATCAGTAAAAACGGAAGAAAAAACAAGCAGTCTGATCATGGCGACGATTCGACGACTAAATGGGTAACAAAAAGAGGCTGTCCGGTTGAACGACATCGCCATACTAAAGACTACGCAAGCTTTTTGCCAACGCTAGTTTGAACGAACTGGCTTTCCTAAATTTGAAGAGGTCGGTGCTAAGGTTATTCCAGGGAACAATTACACGAAACGAAAACGAACCTCGGAGAGATGCAGTGTTCTGAGAGCCAAATAAGCACAGCCGGTACGGGTGGCCCCTGGTTATATTATTGAATGGAGAAATACGAAATAGATCTTCAACGCCCAAGTCGACCTCATTAAAGACGATCTTGTACAAGAAACCCAAGTCCGCAATCTTCCTCCTGTTCTCCAAAGATAACGCGCCGAGAGAAGTAAGCCGCTTCTCATACGAGAACCTACGCTTGCCTCTCCTAGCGAAAATACTATAGGTGAACCTTTTCTGTACCTGTTCTACTCTATCAATTAGATACGCTTTATATGGCGACCATAGTTGAGAACAGTATTCAAGTATGGGTCTTACGTAAATCGTGAACAATTTGAAAAGCAGCTTAGGGTCACGTGAGTGAAAGGCACGCAAGATGTAATTAGATCTGACAGTTGCTCTGGTAACAATATCGGTAATAAAACGCTCAAAATCGAGTCTCGCATCATAACTGACTCCAAGGTCACGAATATAATCAGAATAACTGAGAGGAGAGCCGTTCAAACTAAAAACGACGTCTGGGTGGTTTGTCCCTAAACACATCACCGTAGTTTTCTCCTCAGAGATCTCAAGTTCCCACCTGGCAGCCCAACTGGCCAAGGCATCGATACCATCTTGCAATAGGCCGGCATTGTTTATAGTAAAAATTTTAGAATCATCGGCATACAGGGAAATGTGAACGCCTGGAGGGAAAACCATGGGGAGATCGTTAACATAAATCAGAAACATAAGCGGCCCTAATGCAACTACCCTGTGGAACTCCACTAGAAGTAGGGTATAAATAGGAACGTTCTTCATTTATGACTACCGACTGCGTTCTATTGCTCAAAAACGAGCTAATGAAACGGAGAAGGCAGCCGGTTAAGCCTACGTCTAACTTTTTGAGAAGCAGCGAGACAGGGATGGAATCAAATGCTTTCTTGAAATCGACAAAGCAGACGGACACGTAAGATCCACGATCCAAGCTCCCTATGCCATCGCGGAAGGGTTGAAAGCAGGGCAGTAGTCGTAGAACGTTTGCTGAGGAACCCGTGCTGCGCAGGGTTTAGAATATTATTTCCAAGCAGAAACGAAAGAATACTAGAACAAATAATTCTTTCCATAACTTTACAGACACAAGAAGTAAGACAAATAGGTCGATAGTTGTGTACCACGTTGCGGGGACCTTTTTTGTGGACCGGTTTAACTAACCCGTTTTCCAAATATCAGGACAATCACCTAACAGCAAGAACTTGTTAAAGAGGAGCGTGAGAGGTTTAGCCAGGCCCAGAGCAGCACGTTTGAGAAACGCATAAGGAATATTATCAGGAGACGTGGAATACCTGTTGGGGAGCTTTGACAGCAACCTGTAAACTGATTCAGTGGAGATATCCACCCAGCTTAAAGTAGGGGGGGGGGAAGTGAGGTGGGATACGTAGTGTTTGATTCTCTATAAACAGCCCGGAAATACTCAGCAAACGCTACGACTTTCTCCCAGTCTGAACGAGCAGTGGTATTGCCATCGAGAATAAGCTCAGGGATTTCATCGGACACGTTGAGTTTACTATTGCAATATCTGAAAAAGCGACGAAGGTTTCTCTGCTTGGCAAGTTTTTCTTCCTCAGTAATGGCTAAACGAGTGATCAAACGCTTAAGCTTCTGAGCGTATTTAGCATAAATACGAAAACCATAACGATCAACATTGGCGTAGATGCGGTTCACTTTAGCCCTTAAGCGAAGAATTTTCTTGGGTATATATCCGGGTGAAGTTTTAGCCTTGGAGCATGGCACGTACTGCGAAATGAACGAGTGACAGATGGAAACAAACAAGGAGTAAGCATCATTTGGAGAACCTGCCGCAATAAGTGGCACCCAGTCAATCTCTAATAGGCCCCTGTTGATGCTGACAAAATCGCCTCTAGCGAAATTGGGGCGGAGAGTATACTTCAAGAGCTGACAAGAAATCGGTTGAGACAAAAGCACGCTAATACTGCGATGGTCAGATGTGCTGAAGGGAGGCATTACTTCGACACATCTAACCATTTCAGGATCCGAAGTCAACACAATATCAAGTATGTTTAGTCCAAGGGTGGGCTCCATGACCAGTTGCTTGAGGTTAAAAGACACACAAAGGTCAATAAGGGCAGTCGAAGAGGGAGAACTTAAATTACCCCGATGACTAAGTGAGGTCCAATCAATCAGTGGAAAGTTCAAGTCGCCCATAATAATGATTTTGCTAGGACAATCGAGAATAAGGTCAGAGAGAAATGTAATTAACTCCCAAAAAGCGTCAAACCTACAGGAGGGGCTTCTGTAAATCGTAGCAATAATAACTACATGACAACTAATGGTGACCTCCATAATGATTACTTGACAATACTCAGAGAAATTTTTGGATACATACAGACGGTGGGGGATATCTTTCCGTAGAGCAACAATGACACCCCCTCCTTGTCTGTCACCATCCCTATCACAACGAAACACAGCGTACTTACCTTGACCACTTAACGTGGCATCACTAATCATATGAGGCTTGCACCAGCTCTCCGTAATGAAAACACCATTGGGGTTTTGCTTCAATAACATATCGAATTCAGGGATTTTTTTAACATGGAGCGGGCATTAAAAAGGAGGAGTCTATTGAACAAAGATGGCTTGGCATATCGAGACTCTTGAGAAGGTGTGAGCGAGGACCCTTCCCCGCCCTCACCTTTATCCTAGCGAGATGAATCAACTTTTGAAGCCTTGATCGATCCCCCCTTAGGCTGAATGGCCGGCTCGAGCATGGCATAAACCCGGGTAGATTTATCGATCGACTCTAAACTAGGACCCATGATTGGTTCGCGGCAAACATCAGCGCGCGAAGGACCATGGGTGACGTAATAGGCGATCGATCAGCGTCGGGAGAGGGGGTAGGGACTACCTCGATGGAGCTGGAGCGACTAATGGAGCGCGGGAGATCGCGGGGAGTTTTAAGCTTATGAATAGCAAGATCGCGCACAACATAAAAAAAGTTTACCCGCGTTCGCATTGAGCATCCCTGCTCTCTTTCTGAGCTGCCTGTCGTAATCCAGTTCCTCTCTAGTATAGTCTCGTCTTGCATAAGAGTGATAAAACGTTTGCGTAAATGAGAGTCGCCCTTTTCTCATAAAGGCCAAGAGACGGTCCCTGAGCTCTTGCGAGGGGAGGTTAATCTTAATTATCCTCGGTTTCCTCGAGGCGGCACTACGGTTATGTGGGAACCGCGCGATTTTGATATTACCTGCTTTCCATTGGCTCATTAGCTCGTTATCGCAAGCGGCATCAATGATCTCTTTAATCGCTTCCCTATCAAAATCAGATGTGGATCTATCATCACCATGCTCCTCAATGCCTACCCAGACAATATTGCAATGCTTACTGGCGATGTTTTTGGTATCAGAATGAAACTTAACTAACGTGGTATAAAGCTCACTGTTAGCCTGCGCTGCATTCATTTGATCAAATAAACGCTTTTCAATCGCATCAATTTTCCTCACAATAGCCCTGTGCGACTGTTGCAAGGAAACTAATAAATCGAACATACGGTCAAACCTGGCAAAATAATCATCACATCGTTTAAGTACAGTTTCCAGCCAGAGGGGAGTGACAGCATCCTTGCAGACGTTGCATCCATTGCTTTTCTTTGGAGGCATAGGGGAGGGGAGACGCAGCCGCACGCGACGACAGATCAATGACGACTGACGACAGATCAATGACGACGCGACGACAGTTGCTGAAGGAAAATTCTGATCATTGACATCAAAATTTCAGACAAGTATCCGACGTTGAGTTCCTCACTCTTAAACGCGAGAATGTTTGATTTCAATGAGAGCTGTTCCAGTTTCTCTCACTTCTGTCAAAGAGGTCATCAAAGCGACGACGTGAGCAACCATAAAAGGCCATGTTCCATGATATACCGGCAGAGTTCTGGAGAAAATGAAGGAACTGCGGCAGAAAAATTTTTGTGGCTAACGGAATTTATTAGTGCCATCGTTGGTTAGGGCCGCGCACCTAAGCGGATGGGTTGCGAGCATTATTTGATCCAGTCTTCAAGAACAAAGGAGATCGTACAGAGTGCTCAAATTACCGCCCATTCCGCCTTTTGTCACACCGAAAACAGTCGGGGGAATCATAGAGTAACGTTACGCGACAAGATCAAAACAACCACGGCATCCTTTAGTGTCCGTTTACTTTCGGAGAAACATGGGAGAAAGTGTTACCACTTCACGTAGCCTTCCCGGATCTCGAGAAGCCTACGTAATATACCGCACCAACCAATCTGGTATACTCTCCGAGAACACCATTTCCTTGAAGCACCTATCAAGTGGATACGGATGTTGTATACTCGAGATCCCTGAGATCGGGTAGGCGTGGCCGCATGTTTCAACTTAACCTGAAGGTGTCTATGCTTCTGGTGAGATATTTTCATCTTGACACAATTGTCGTGTCTCTGTCCAACACAGAACAAGATGACAGTTGTCCCAGACTGGAATATTCCACGAGTAACCAGTTCCGTGCCATGTTCAAATGCCACGCCTACTCTGGCTCAGGGATAAGGAGTGTATATAAACACTACCAGTGGAGCGAGATATGCAGCAAGTCAATCCAGCGGCTTCCCAATGAAAGTTGGCTCTCACAAGGGTAATCCATGGACTTTGCTCTATGCCGCCGATGTTCTTCTTGCAGGACAGGAACCACACTGTCATGTTCGAACATGGAAGGATCGCCCCTGCCTTTACGGCTCCCGCCTCAATAGAAAAAAGACGGAATATTTGGAAACTAATCTTGTAGTTGGAAACAGCCAGCTCAGTGGCGGAAATTCATCAACGATCACTTGCTCAATGTAGCGGGAATCCCGTCTGCAGGGTTGTAGTAGTCTCCATGACGAGACGAGTGAGAGTCATTGCAACATGGATGCGATGGAAAGAGCTACCCGCTATGTTGTATGAGAGACGGATGCCGATGCGTCCCATGTCGAAAATCTACCGAGAAACGGTTCACCCCATCGCACTGTATGAACGAGAAGTCTGGCCGACCACGTAAAGTACCGAACGAAGTTCCATGCAATGGAGACACGTATGCTCTGTTTGTATATCATACCTTGACACTTGTAACGAAAAGGTTCGACGACAGATAGGCGTTGGGCCGTTTGGGGAGCAAGTGCGATAGGGGAAAATGCAATCGCTTGGTAATGTTCTACGTACCGCGCCTGACACCGACGCTGCCACTACGTATTCTGAAGTTCAAGGCCACCGTCCACGAGCAGGACCCAAACAACGCTTGCAAGGTAAGGGTCAATGCGGACATGACGATGTCCGGATATAGGCGATGCACTGGATCGTGCAAGGCTAACGTTGAAAAGAAAAGAGTAAAGAGTAAGTAGAGTAGCATCTATCGTTGGCGATACCACGAGCGAACCGCTCACAGCTCTTACAGTTTAAAGCTAAGCCCTGATGGAGAATACATACATTAGAGAAATAGAGGACATTAATGCTCGAAATAGTGTACCAGGTATTGCAAGCAAACTTTTTACTTCTGAAAGAAGTTCATGAAGCCCTCGTATGACATCCGCGTCTATGGATCGTACGAGGGCTTTCTGCAGTAATCCTTGTTCTCAACAGCATGAGCTTGCCAGGATTGGCTGTCTCAGACAGTCGTTGTTGCAGGTCAAAAAAGCGCCGACAACAAGTTTTGACGGTACCGCTGAATCCATTGCTATGTATTTGCTCGGAAACAATACGAACGATAGCCTTCTAAGGTGAATGTCGTTTGAGGAGTATGTATTGGGCTTTCCTTATTCGATTTGACGAAAAGAGGAGAGGCAGTGTTTCTCATGTATAGCATATGTTGTGGATACTTATCGGATGACTTTTCAACTGAAAAGTGTCGAAATGGCAGCGTAATGACCACCACCACCACAAGAACATCCCGAACATTGTCAATTGCCCTTGCAACGCACGAGGTTCCCCCTATCACCTATTAGGGTGTCCACAAAGTTCGTTGGCCATTTGTAAACAGCGTCGCGTTACGCAACGCGTTGTGATTTTGCATAAAGATTTCGCAATACTGAAAGTACTCGCGATGGGCTATCTTCTGAGCTAGCTAGCTCTAAATTTCCTTTCCTGCTCTTCCCACAATAAAGCAGTGAAGATGAGTGATAGTCACCACCACCGCCGATGTTTGCTGGACTACTACAACCTGGGCATCTCCAGACGTCAGGCCACGACCAGGATGCGTCAGCAGTTTGGTAATAACACCCCTTCTAAGAACTGGATGTCAAAATGGTGGACTCGCCTCACCAATGAAAACTATGGCATCGAAGATATGCCGAGGTTTCTGGTTCTCTCGCCACGGCGTCGTCCACTACAGCATCCTACCCAACAATGCCACAGTGACGGCAGAGACCCTCTCTAAAGAATTGCAGGAGGTCAAGGTGAAAGCTGCCGCCTTGTCCCAGAAACTTGCAAATCCGTGGTTGCTCTGGGACAACGCGCGCCCCCACAAAGCGAGAGATACTCAGGCCGTCCTGGACAGGCTGGGCATCAAGACGATCACGCATCCACCGTATAGCCCGGACATCAGTCCATGCGATTACCACATCTTCCGGTCCATGCAAAATTTCTTGGACGGAAAACAGCTGAAGAACGAGCGCGACCTCGAGGACGTGATCGAGGACTGGGCCGAGTCGCGGCCGGCCAGCTTTTGGGAGGATGGAGTTGCCTCTCTACCCGATCGTTGGCGAAAGGTAGTGGGTATGCATGGAGATTATATCATGGACCGGTAAGTTCAACTTGGTGAGATATCTTTACCAGCTCTGAAAAAACGAATGGCCAACGAACTTTGTGGACACCCTAATATCAAGACCCACCAGATTTACGCATTTAATCAAATGCTGAGGAAGTGTGCCTCTTATAGTTGTAGAACTGCCCGCGTTTCACATGGCAAGGATCACCTTGCACAGCGTATCTTTGTAAAAGTACATGGCAGCCCATATTTGGTTGAAAAAGTCCTGCAACACTCAGCTCAGGTACTTTTCAATTGGATATGCCTTCAAAGATCGGAAACTTCAATCAACAAAAAAGCTATCAGCTAGGTAGCTGATTTTCTCCAAGATCAGAATTTTCTGGATGCCATCTTCGTCACATGCGAGAGCTGACTGTCGTGGAGTGAGATGATATGTGGCTTTCCGGGAGACGTTCACCTATGACGACGGACTATCTCTCGAAGTCAATTGCAGTAGACTGTGCTTGTTGTCACTGCTATACCATTATGCAGCAGCGCCTCTTTCCTGCATACCATCTAAACATTGAGACCTTCACCCATGCATATCTTCTTTTGCCACAACTCACATCTTTTCTTCTTGAGAGATCCGATCCAGCGAGTTTAGTATATGCACGGTTTACACGAGACAAGTTCGTTACCACTTTGTCTGAACACATCACTCAGGAACTGGCTCTACTTATGAATTATCCAACGCGGTTATCCTTCCTGACAACCGAAACCGTGCGTATACTTCTTTCCGGGGGGTCCGCAGCAGATATGGAAGACGGTTTCGTAATTCCCGTCCGAAGACCTTTCAGCCGGTATACATTTCATTTCAAATGGCCACTTCGACCTACCATCCTTCCCTTGTAAGGAATGGAATCAGTCTAAACCTGGGGTCAACTAAGGGGATGTTGTGTGCGACTATGCGTCTGGGGCGTCAAGCGGAGGCTTCTCTGAAGTGTT